GTCACACTAACACTGTATGTCCTCCTTCACTACACCCATGACTCTTCTGAGGTTTTCCTCTTTTCTGTCTGCATGGCAGCTCCATATTCAACAGGCTTTGTCCAGTGTCCCTTCCCTGCACGTGTCAGGTCCATCTTGTCCACAAACAGCTCAAGCTGGATTGTCCCTCTGATATACTACTTTCTAATCATTTCCCTCTTAGCCACTCCCAGTAAAAATCTTAGCATTTTCAACACCGCCAAGTCCAGCTCCACCTCTAGCGCCACCTCTGTCTTTTTGTTAGTGACATCTAACCGGAACAGTGCACCCTTAGGACTGGTTCCTATACATTTTGAATCCCAGTGAAAACATAAACTAATCAACCATCATGCAATCTCTCACTAAAGAACAAACAACAACCCTGCAGCTGCAGGTTCAATTACTGTGGAGAAATTGTTAAAGTAGCTAATATCGACCGTATATTCACTATTTTCTGTTCCACTACAATGTAGCTACAGTAAATCGCCAAGTTTTTTTTTTCTTTAAATGTCGATAATAGTCGTATACATAAAGATGGAAATCAAGAGTTATTTAACGGTTGCCCGCCTCCAAGCATCAGCCTCTGGTCAGTTGTTTGGGGGACGGAATGATTGGAATTTCTGCAGAGTGAGGTGAGAACAATAAATTAACTGTAGGTGTAATTTTCTCGGAAAAGATGACTTATTGTTGTACTTGTGAGATCTCTGCCGTTGAACACATTCGGTGTAAGTGTAAGCACCTCATGCATGTGTCACAGCAATGCAGGCTTTAGATTTCCTGCATTGCTACACGACACAGCATGAATCTCAAATCTTCCCCTTTCCTTATGATAATTACATAACTGTGAAACCAGGAATTTGAAAAGACTGTATTACAATCGGTTCCGAAAAATGGGAAGCAGATGAATCTCTTTTGATGATTTGCTTTGTTTCTTCTCTAAACTAAGCAGTGAGTTTTCTTTTGCCTCTTCGTTTCATTTTCTTTTCTCAGCAAGTAGTCAGTCAATCCATTGTCCCTGTTTGGTTCCCACTGGAAGTTTGATAGTTGGCCTAATGGTGATGATAATCGCTGTTACCGATTTTCCCATCGTTAGCGGTACAGAGTAGCTGCTGAAATGCACCTATTGTTGTGATTTGATATCAACACAGGAACAGGAAATGAGTGTGTGTATGCAAAGTGTGTGTGTGTGTGTGTGTGTGTGTGTGTGCAAAAAGAGGGTGCTACATTGGTCTGAGGGGAGTTGTAGGGGGCTCTGTGCTGCACTTCTCCATGTCTTCACTCTTTACTGCCATTGTTTTTATGTACATGTTTGTCCTTGAGCACTCGATGTGATAAAGGTGATCACAATACTGTTGGGAGCAATAATGAAACTATGATTTTACGAGCATTCTTTAACAAAGCAGAGTGCTTTGTTATGGTTATATTGCTCTAGTTATATTACTTCTTACTATCTGACCCTCATTTTACACTTTAGGCTAATGACACATCAGTTTTTTGTTATAATAATCCTACTTTATTTAGTTTAGATCTGCTAAAGACCACCAAATGTTTTAAAACCTGCAAAACTGTCTTTAAATTTATAGACAGAATAAGAAGATTCGATATTATTTGTTAGATATTAAGAGTTTGTTAGTTGTAAACCTGTGTGAATTTGGTTTAATCATATTTAATTGACAGTGTTCCAACAAATATTTTGATCGATGCACATTTACTTTAGCTTCAGTAATGCAGGGGAAAAAGAGAGACTTTCATCACCGTGGAAAATAAACAACACTAGTAGAAAAAAAATGTACACTTATGTAGACTTTAATTACTCACAGCGTGTGAATAAACAATGCATTGATCCTTCATCAGCAGTAAGCTGCAGTCAGAGATAGTTTACACTCATCAGTTTTAGCCCATGTCCATCTGTGCAGAGTGCGAATCAGCTATCTGCCAATGCTGGTGAGAGCCAACCAATCATCAGGCTATTGATAGTTTTCAATTGAGCTGAAGGTTATGAAATGGATTTGACCCACTAGATCTGCTTAGCCAGGAAATGCTTGACTGAGTGACTTTAGTTGCTGTTAGGCAAATGGTTACTTAACTTCTTTACTGCCAAAATGAACATCTGGATCATCTGGTCAGCTAAGCTGAGTGTTTTTTAAGCTTTGGTCTGGTGGAAATCTGGCAGATTTCTTTTTTTTTTTTGCTGACAATGGGGCTGCATAAGCATCTTAAACAGTACTGACACTGCACTGTTCTGTTTTCAACCAACTTTTATTGTTTTCTTGTCGGCAAGTATTTAGAGTGACATGAGCTGAGTGGGAATGCATTATTATTTTTATTGAGCAGGCATAGTGATTCCCTCCATGTGTAGCTAGCATTTGCAAATTTAGGAGTTCTCTAAGAATGCACTTGAAAGAATGAATTAATGAATTCCCTTAAATCGTCTCCCTTGAATAATTGCGTTTATCTCAGTTTGCAGATGACATGAGAGTCCCTGGCCTTCGGCTATTGAGGTTTTGCGATGATTGTTAATTTTTTTTTTAGTTTTTTAAACCAGGCTGCTACCATGTCAACAAATGTAGGTTGCGCTCATGAGTATATTTCCTCTTGCCAATCAGAATACAAATTGTTATGGATTAGTGTAACCAGGATCCTGGATCGTGCACTTGATCTTGCATCTTTTAAAGTTTTGTTTTCAGAATTAATTGAAGCTGTCCACATAATTGGAGAAAACAACCACCATGACTTCATGTGAAAAACATCCAAGTATTGTGTTGAAGACATATCAGCTGAAGTTGAACTTGAGCCAGGCTTTTTATGTAATGCAAATTGTAGGTGTGATGTTTTGTAATTACTTTTAATTTCTGCACATGGCTGATTAATGTTCCAAACATCTATTATTACTTAGTCTGACTGCATTTAAATATATTAATATAATAAAAATAAAGTGTTCAGCACAGTGTCTGTGAAGGCTCTCAGTCATCCAGGTCATCTTAGTCTGAGGAGCTTGGAAAGAAAAGCGTCTGGACCTCTTTAAATTGCTTGAAGAAGTTTCACCTCTCATCCGAGAAGCTTCTTCAGTTCTAAGAGTCAAATGATGGAGAGTCCCAGATTTAAGCTCTGTGGGAGTGTCCCTGAGAGGGTCATGGACCCCCTATTGATCCTCGACCTAATCACACGAGCCAAGGTGTGAAAACGAGTGTAGGTCACAATCAGCCGAGGTTTCGGGTGAGCTCATCGTGAAACTTAACCCCACCCTATCACGTGATTTCCTGAGGTCAAATGGCACAGGATGTGAATGGTCGTCAAGGCGTCTGGGAAGGGATCTCAGAACTGGATTGAGATGGCAGTCAGTTGGTGTCATAAACCACCACCTCTATTCAAAGATGGTCATTCACAGTGGACATAGATGGCTTCTTTCACTCCTCATTTAAACTGTCCAAAATGTGAACATTGGTATCTTCAAAAAAGTGACCATTTCCCTTTAGATGCAGAAGGACGGCCGAGTTAGTCCCGTGGAGCCGGCTCTTCTATGTTGCGCCATGCGTTCATAAAGGCATGGTTTTGGGGCTGTTCTGTCATTTAAGAGCACTTCTGTGCTAAAAGCACACAGCTCCTTCAATATTTCCACATCGCTGAACTTCATTTCCTACAAGCAGCAATAACTTGACCTTTTCTTCGGGAGTGCAAATATGAAAAAAGACATAAATTACTCAAAAGTTTTTTGCGGAAAAAATGATACACATTTGCCGCTAGCTGGGCTCCACAGAGTCAGCGGTGATTCAGCAGTGTTACGTAGCTGCAAAAACAAAAGCCTTCCTCTGCTTAAATCTGAGGAATCACACACACCACCTCTCTTTCCTCTGTAAGCTTCCTGCACACACACACACACACGCACTTGCACACACTGTCGACATTATCCCAGAAGTTTCACAGCTCTTCTAATCTTTCAGCAGGAAGAGGAGGAGCTGTGGGAGGACAAGGATCTCGCCAAGACACACACACAAGCGCACGCACTGCAAATACTGTTAAAAACAAATATTCGCCCCTGACTGACCTGTAGAGCGCGACAAATATGACTATTTCTCAGCTTTTTTTTAACACTTGCTGACTCCATCTTAAAAATGTGTGTGGATCTGTCTTCATTTAAAGCTTTTAGTTGATAATATAGGCGGGCGTTATCGGGAAACTAACAGGAACAAGCCTTCGGCAGTAAACACCAGTAATCACTTGTTAAAGAGATGTGTATAATACTAAATAACACTACACTATTAAAATATAAACACAATTCCAGTAAATACAGACTGAAAATATAAACACCGCTATAATCCTGCACATAAAAAATGCAAACTATAGAGCCAGATAAAGTGCACTGTGGTTTGTGGAAGCTTCCATTATGATAAGAGAGCCATTTTTCCTGTCGTCCTTTAAATGGCTACAGGAATAAAAATGAATCTTAAGTGCTATGACTCTATTTTGAGCATCATGTTGCTGTGACCTGAAGGAAGGGGGTCAGATGATTGCATATGTTTGAGAGCACTTTAAGTAAAGAGGGTCCTTCACCTTCTCGGATCATTTCAGTTGAGTAATTTGAAGGGTGGGATTCAGGCTGTTCAGTATATCACAGAAGAAGAAGAAGTATTAGAAAGGCAGAAAAATCTGTTTTATAACATATAACACATGTGTACATCGTAGATGGCCTATACTTGTAGTATTGTGCAGTATGAAGGAGTTAAAATAAACTAGTTTGACTGAAATTAAGGTCCAGTATTATTATTTTTATTTAAATTGGAAGTGTTGGTCTTGAGAATAAGAATCTCCTGTGCTCAGATGGCAGGATTATCTTTGCATATCCGTTGTAGGAGAGACCAGCTCTCCTAGAGAAAGGCTGCAAAGGCTTATGGATAATATGCAAATATAAGGGCCCTGCCTGGGTTGCACGCTGATATTGCTTTTCTCTTATTTATATGCATTTCTGCTTTCGTGTCTTCTAGTTGAGGGACTGGAGAAATCAACATCTCTGGCCAGCTGCGACGTGGCGGTGGACAGCTCTGCCAATGCCCAGAATGCCCATGCATCACGGCAGCAGCGAGGCAAGCTGTCAACCCTGGGCAAACTTTTCAAACCCTGGAAGTGGAGGAAGAAGAAGACCAGCGACAAGTTCCAGGATCTTTCAAAAGGTAGGACGTCTTGTGTGTCCGTGTGTGGATGTGTATGTTAATGACACTGTATCAACAAGCTGATGAGTCGCTTCTGATTTGTTCTCCTCAATCAAGTGTCTGGTCAATATCTCAGATTGCATTTTTGGATTTGTGTGGAACATTACGCGTGAAATGGAGCACTGTTGCTCCCAGAAGAGCTTTAAAAGGAAAAGAGTGAATGGTTTGTTTGTAGTTCTTGCTGATTGATTCCTCAGGGGTTTGGCTGGGAAATAAAGAGAGACAGAGGTAAATACAAAAACCAGAGACTCTTTTTCCTGAAAGCTGCTAGGTTTTATCTTTTGCTTTTCCTGTGTTTATATGAAAGTTGTGTTCCTCTATGTCCCTTTAATGCTAGCGCTCAGGCAGTTTAGATATATAGGATATATAAGGTGCTAACTGGGAAGTAGAACGTCTTTCTTTATAATTAGATTATTTATTGGTGTCAAAGTTTTCGGGGGGGAGGGGTCTGAGATCAGTACACAACCACATTTCCATGTCAGTAAAAGCAGATTGTGGTGATTTACAAGTAATTTAAACACCACATTTATTAGAAAACAGTATAAAATATATTCACACAGTTGTTTATATATAGGATTTCGTTTACTTAACATTATGTGGTCTCCTTTGTCACATTTTTCTTTTCTTAATGTGCAAAATGTTTACATGGGGTGACAGGTCTGGATTGTAGGCAGGCCCGTTCGTCACCCCGTCTCTTATTTCAACGTCATGCAGTTGCAAACTGTGTAAAATGTGGTTTGGCATTGTGTTGTTGATGTGTTCGAATAAATATATTGAACTTGAGCTTGTTGGTCTTTCAGTTCTAGAGAGAAAAATCTCCACTAGACAAACGAGGGAGGAGCTCATCAAGAAAGGAGTTCTCATCCCAGACCAAGGTTTGTCCTATGTCTCAGTCAAATCCATGCTCAAGAACACATTGAATGCCACACCTCTTCTTCCCCAAATTATGACATTTACTTATTACAAAGCAAAGCAATTCACCTTGTAAGACACATCTTAACATGTTTTTTATTGTTCTTTACACTTCAAAGCCTTTTTACTTTGTCACATGTTGTTTGTGTCATATCAGGAGATGGAGAAAATGACTAAAAAGCAGCTTTTATTTCTTCTCCCCTAGATGAACCAGTCATCAGTGAAAATCTGAACGGCCATGCCACATCCAGTTTGACGCCAGAGGAAGTCAAAGTCGACATTGAGTCTCAAGAAACACTGCGGGAGGAACAGGCAACTGGCCCGGTCAGAACTGAGGAGAAACCAGGTAACCTTTGGACCAGTCACAATATAACCTTTGTCATACTTTGGCCTGTAATCCAGGGCTGGTTGGAGTCTCTAACCATCAGATTCCTGTACTAGTTGAAGTTACAAGCCCAGGGTAACAGTCTTCCACCTGCATATATTGAAGAATTATATATAGATGCATTGTTGTTATTTGTTTGAAAATTAAAGCAAGAAACGGTTGTCGCTAGAGACGTGCTAAATGCTGAGAAAACTTTACTCTTCTACAGAGAACTCACATTTTGTGGAATGTGGGGCTTTTTCGGCCCTTGAACTGTTCCATTTTTATATACTGGATCTAAATATTGTAGCTTTTTTTAGGTGCTTTGATGTCTTTTCCTCTGGGCTGTGGAATGCATTAGTATCTGCAGCAGCTTTCTGGTTGACATTGAACTCGCTGTGGGATCAATGAGCGGGTCTAATGTGTTCAGATAGATATTCCCATTATATCAGCCTGCAATAGGCATTCACAGTTTGAACAGAGCTGTATCTTCTCCTCCTAATGCCTCTCTCTCCCTGAGGAGACAGGCCACTGTTCTTGTGTCTGATGCTGCTTAAGTGTTGTGCTGTTTTCAACTCAACCCTGTTAGCATTGAACTTGTAGCCATTTGTTTGTTCATTTGTCAATAATCAGAAAGGCAAAGGCAACAAACTCTGTAAGTACAGCAACTGAACACACATACTATCGCCTACCCTGGAGCCTGGGAAGGTTAATGGGTACATATTATCTATCAGTTCTCTGGAAAAGCTGTACAAGAGCCCTTCATCATCAGCTCTGTCATACACTTTCTGTATCATTCATTTTCTCCTCTGTCTCTGCTTGTCCACCTCTCTATTTGTGCATCAGTTTGCACAGATCAGCAACTTTTATCTTCCTTCCAGCCTTTATATTAACCTGTAACTGCCGCACTTTTCCTTCCTACTCCCTCTCATCTATTTAGAAAGGTCTGATACTAAACCTAACACCCGGGCAAATCAGGCGCGACCTCGAGAGACTCAAGCTAAAAAACAGCCAAGCGCCACTCCGCCCGCATCATCCAAACCTGCCGGTGGCACCGCAGCCACGGCAAAGCACAAGGATGGTGCCTCTGGGGCTAAAAAGACAACTAAAACCACTGTCAAGACTGGGTCGTCCACACAGGCTAAAGCTAACCCCCCACGGAACACTAACACAACTGGTCGCGGGACTGGTAAGTTCAGATAGTTAGAACCGAAACCAGCTGGCCTGTCAGTGTTCATCCCTTCCCTCATTCCCGCATGGAGAATGCCCTTCTCTCACTGTTGGAAGGAAAATAGGAGTCACTATTAAGCAGTTTGTTCCTTCTAAGCATGGCTTTATGTGCACACTCGTGCAAATGTTATTGAAGTTTCTGTCAAGTGGTTAGTATTTCCCCTTTTCTCCCTCTTCACGATGTGCTTTCCTTATAAAAAGCATATCATTTACAATATCTGCCTGTTTTCCAAGAAAGCAGAGGTAAAGATTTATCTGTGAACCTCTAGAAATGTCTGCAGTGTTTGTGTGTGTGTCAGAGGGGCTGAGCAAGAAAAGTGAGTGAGGTCAGTGTAGCATCGCCACTTTAACAAGAAAGAGAGAGAGAGCAATCTGACGAGCTTGTGTGGTTTCACTAGCATGACACCAGGGCATGATCATCCCCCTGCTTCCTGTGTATATGTGTGTGTGTCTGTGCTGCAATATATAGCATGGTTAAACGAAACTTGGAACACTGCATGTGATGTTCATGCAGTCCTTTCAGAGGATATTTGTGTCTTTTGTGGTGTGTTCAGGAAAGTGGCACAAACGTTGCTTCATTAATGTTTGAATAACTTCGAAATCCTAAGTTCACCCCCTCTCCTAAGGGTGTTTTTACCAGCACACAAAGACACTTCACATAGACTTGAAAACATACTTTAGTAGTCAGTATATCCTTAGGTATTCTGTGTTTGTCACAGTTTTAATGGAGAAGATATGTTTAGATAGTTACTCTATTATGTTTAAGTTTAAGAGTTGGTAAATATTGGAATCCATATGTGCTGCATACACTTGGATTATGTATTAATCAAAAATGGTTACGTTTTCTGGCATTGCACAGCCTAGACAAAAAACGTGATGCATTTGAAAAATAAAATTCAAGGCCGATCATACTTTAGGTGAAACTACTTTGATTGAAATAGAGAGCAAAAGTGAGACATCGCGTTTTATACGCTTCAGTTTTATCCATGCAGCCAATCAAAATGTTTCACTTGAACAGAAGGTGTAAGACTACTAGCAATAGTTCCCTGGGTTAAGTAGCCAACAGCCATTAAACAGAATATAAACATTGCTTATATTTTGGGATGATTCTCACATTATCATACGCGTGTTATTAACTACATATATTACTGATGACATTTTTACTTTAAAACACATAAATATTTGTCTTTTACAACATAGAATTTGTATAAGCATATTAGGAGGTTTTTGTGCATGTCTTCAGAAAATAGAGCATCTAGAAAAACAAAAACGTCTGATTTTCTGTCCTCCTCAGCCAAGTCCTCTCATCCAAAGAAGACGGGATGCACAACAAAAAGCACCACCACCTCCACCTCCACACCTCGTTCTCGTGCGTCAAAGGACACTGGCTCTGCAGCACAGAATGAAAGGACAGATGCAAAGGCCAACCGGAAATCAGACACTCCGACTTCATCGTCTGTACTTCAAAAAGCCTCTGCAGAGACTCTTAACCCACCTGGAGACTTAAAAGCTTCTCGCCTTTCCTCAGACACCAAATCTATTTCATCTAAAGTCTCAAGCAATGACACAGCGGGAGCTCAGGGGGACTCTGTCCAAGATCCCAAATCTTCACCTGACGCATCGCGTGCAGGTGAAGATACCCATAAAGGTGCAGTTCCTGGAACCACAAGTCAGTCTTCTCATGTCAACACTGCTACAGAAAACACATCATTCGCAGATGGAGAGGCGCGCGGCAGCTCACAGAGCGATAAACAGGAGAGGACAAAAGAGGAGGGAGGAGGAGGTGGAACGAAGAAAGGAGAAACAGAGAATGTTGTTGAAAATGGCCGGAGGTACTGTAAAAATCTAGTTGGTACATGCAAGTTGCTGATTGCTTGAATTCCTTATGTTCACTTTGACTTTATCTAAGTTTGATAGCATGCATTACAGTAACCTTAACAAAGTCACAAATTAATCTTTATATGATTTGCTGTTATATGAAATTAGATAACTGACAATAAATCTATTAAAATTTGTTTAGTCACACTGTTGTGTTATTGATTCCTGCAGGTCAGCAGAGGATGAAGCAGAAAAGCCGCAGCGACCCAGGGTAAAAACAGAGCAGGCCGAGGTGACCGTGATACCCGATAGGCCGAGAGACAGCCAAACTAGTGACTCTGATTCTGACGGACCAATCCTGTACCGGGATGAGGAGGAAGAAGAGGAGGAGGAAGACGAGGACTCAAACAGTATGTTTGACAACAGTCACGTCAGCTGCAGAACTTAAAGAGAAGCTCACCTAAACAACTCAACTTCGACATGTCAGTTAGCAGGCGGGGTGTGATGTGTTTAAGAGGATGTAGTGCAGTGGGTCAATGGTTAGAACTGTTGCCTCACAACTAAAGAGCCCTGCTAGTCCTGCTACTATGGTTAAAACATATTTATTTTGCAAATAAATATGTTTTATATATATTTTACCTAATGACACATGACCTTTGGTTTTAATATAAGACAGCGTATCCTGATTCAGAGTTGTGGAACTGACCAGTAGGCCAGCAGCTCATGGCTACTGAATAGACACTTCCAGTAAAAGAATATGTCATGTCACCAGATGTGTATAAACCCTTGAATGGTTGCAGAAACACATCCATAGCTTTAACATCCTGCTCAGCTCAAGGGCTCATTGCTCCCAAGATGAAGTGAAAGAACCGTTTGCAGTCAGACTGTGAAGCCGCCCAACTTGCTGTGACGGTGCAATGTTTGCTTCGTGCAGTCATGCTGTTAAAATTGTCAAAGATGCAACTTTTGCTTGCAAAACTAACCAGCACTGGTGAACAGCATTTAATCTGTTTATCATTACAATGGACTTTCTGTTGATGTTTCAGGTTTTTAAACGTCTCATTTTCTTCATTGTTTGTTCATTATGATCCACAGCTGACCCCCCGGAAGACTGTTACTAGCCCTGCCTGTTCTCTCTCTGTTCTAGCCTCTCTTGCCAGCAAGATCCGCCGACGAGACACCTTGAACATTAAACTGGGGAACCGACCCAGCAAGAAAGAGCTGGAAGAGAAAAACATTCTGCCACAGAGTTCAGAGACGGAGAGGCACGAGCTACGCCAGCAGATTGGCAGCAAATTAGTCAGGTACACTCAAACACACGCATACAAAGTGGACTGTGAAAATGTGGCTAGGTGTTACTTTTTTCTCAAGCTTGGCATTGCTTTAGGATAACAACAGAGATTGTTGTTTATTTTTTTGGTGTAGCTGTGGGTGGTATACTGTTACAAATGATGCACATTAAAAATGTGTCCTGAAGTTTGGCCTTTTCTAACAGATGAGCCAAATTGGCTGGTGTTAAAACAGCCTTCAGATTCTCAGCAACAAAAGGTGTAAACAAAAAACAACATCTTAAGTGTTGATAATTTTGGATTTTTCTCTGCACGAGCCTGCAGAATTATTAAATCCATACCTGCTCGTAAAAAGAGTGTAAACAGTTTTCTCTTTTTAGACGCCTGAGCCAAAGACCAACCACAGAGGAGCTGGAGCAGAGAAACATTCTGAAGCGTAAGTACACTCTTCAACAGAGGTGTGACGTGATACACCTTTTTTTTTATGATCGTCATAATGCTTTAAAGCCCGAATGTCATTTATCTACCTGCAACCATATCACAAGAGCTATCATGAGGATGGTCACATTAAAGCCGGTATTGTGCTGTTTCAGCTGCCCAGCCACAATCTGTTACTGCCACTTTCAGATCTTCAGATACGACCTTGCGTGTCTTATTAATCAGATGGATGAGACAGATATGTCTGTCTAAATTATGAATTACTGCCTTTTAGCAGCTTTGTGTCTCCCACGGTGGAGTGATGTGTTCAATCACACTGTGAGGGGATTTTCTTTGGTGATTATATACCGAAGTGATAGAAGCTGGTCTGAGTCATTCGTTTTCCAACGCACACTAACGAGCATGCTTGTCATGCTACTGAACATGAATAAAATAACTCTGCTAGCGGCTATGATCTCACCTGTTTAGTTCAAATTTGTCATTCGTGCAGGCTTTTATGGTTTTAAGAATTGCCCATTACTTCAATCAGTATATTTGTTCTTGGTCTAACTGCACAAATGCATGATACCTCTTTCCCTAATATACAATGATAATACTGCTTTATTGTAGGTGAAAAGAATGCCTGTATTCCCAGTCGATAGAACAGATATACACATAGTCCATACGTGTAGTGGTTATATCCACATACATAACAGCGGTAAGGAAGTTCCGATATATTGTTTCTGGTGTTCATCCCTTTGTGGGCAAGAATTTATCTACAAATAGATTTGGTAAAATTATATAATACTGTGTGTATAATGTAATGTAATGTAAAAGTGTCAAGAGCAAGAGCAACAGCTTTACTGGGTATCTGTGTAACTTTATCCTCTGATTTAATTATTTTATTTATTTTTTGAAAGGTTGATTTGCAGACTTTAAAACATTTCGGTCTGCAGCACACAGCCTCAGTGTCATCATAGCACATGAGAAATAATGCAAGGCTCTCATGTGTTCCTTTAAACACAGGAAGAGAAGTAACACTGTGTATGTGTTGTGCTAGGAAAGGATTAGGTGTCGTAAATCCTGCATGACTTCTGTTTCAATCTGGATGAGACCACTAGATGTCACTGACTTCTCCAGTGCCCCCTCACCAAGCTGTTTATATATATATATATATGCGTGTGTGTGTATGTGTGTGTGTGTATATATGGTGCAATTCAATGAATATTTCACAAGAATATTTGCCGTTCAGATTGAATCTAATTTCCCTTTTTTCGCCTTTTTGCTTTTGTTTACGTAATGGCAGCCACACTGCTGCATAGCCATGCACTTGGCTTAATATTGCAAATTATAGCTTGTGTATATAATTAGATGCAGTAACTTGTTGCAGACATAGTAGGTGTGAAATCAATCTGCTGGTTCTCTACATGCAGAAAAGAATGAAGCAGAGGAACAAGAAGCTAAGCAAGAGATTAAAAGGAGGCTCACGAGAAAGGTACTGTAAATTTCACACACACACACACACACACACATAACAGAACAGAAAGTACACAGCACGTCTATATTTAGCTACTAATATGTTTTGCCCCACCTTATGAGTCATGGTAGTAGAAAGAAACTGTTTTATATAGAGAGATCAGGCCATCTAGTGGACTCAGCTGGAACTGAGACATTAACCAAAATACTGGGAAGATCATTTTGAAGTTTAATATTTGATTCGACTGACTGTCTACTTTCTCCTCCTTTCTCATCTGTGTGTAGCTGAGCGTGAGGCCGACGGTGGCAGAGCTCGTTGCTAGGAGGATTCTTCGTTTTAATGAATATGTGGAGGTAACGGACGCCAAGGATTATGACAGACGAGCTGACAAACCCTGGACACGGCTTACTCCTGCTGACAAGGTACTGCTCTTGTAGACTGCTTTGTAATGCCTGATATAATTTAATTTATTAGGGCTTTATGAAACCTTTACAGTTTCTATTCAGGGTGAAAATTTTGTGAATTTGTGATGTTGATTACTTTGGTGATTAGAGACTTAAAATATATGTGGACATGCAATCACACATATATGGCGAACAACCATCTGCTTTTGTAGCGGCCTCGACTTCTTGGGAAGACTTTAGAAAAGATTTCAGATCTTGGCTGCAGGAATTTGAACCCACTGGGCTGTAAGAGCATTATTAAAATCAGGCACTAAATGTTTCCTGGCTTGCAGTCGCTGTTCCAGTTCATCCCAAAGGTGGTGGATTGGGGTCAGAGCTTGTGCAGGCCAAAATCAAAAACCCATTTATGTATGGGTCTTAGTTTGTTGCAGGTTTTTTTTCTAGTTTCAACAGGACGGCCTTCTGCGTACACAGTTGTGTTTCATATTATGGTCTTAAACGTCTCTGTGTGTTTATGCTTGATGATATACATGAAATTCACCTAGCTCACACTAAGTCAGTATGTAACTGCATATATGTGCCATCTGCACTGTATGAATATTTAGCATGGCTTAACAAAATATCCTCACAGACAATAAAGACCCTCAAAGTGTGCAGTTTGTCAAGGTTTCCCTCTGCTGTTGATGTTCAGAACTGCACAGCACATAAATACAGACCTTGAGACTTCCAGCCCACATCCAGTATATTCAATTTTAGGATATCTTCTCACATTCAGAGGGCAACAGGGAAAACGATGCATGGACAAACCAAAGTAAACTGTCTGCTTGCACATTTGTACATTGAAATCTCCGTCATCAGTCACACCGCAGACAGCCTTGGAGACATATAAATTATTTCTGATCGCACAAATCTAAACTCATTACTGTCAAATAAAAGAATGGACAGGCAAATAAAGCAAGCGACGTCTAACTAAATCCTTAACAGCTTTAAAAATAAACCTCCGACTTCACAGCATCACCTGCACAACCAGGTCAAAAAATGGATGTACTTGATGTTACTGACGACAGACAAAACAAACTTTTCATGTAAGGCTTGAGGGAAGAGTCGGTTACAAACATTACAATAAATCCCTTTAAAATCATTATTTTATAAGTTAAAATGAATGAGAATAATCATTTGTGCTGCTGTGTAATTTGCTCGATTTTTTTTAACTCATATACTATTAGTTCCGACTACTTCCCCGAAGCAAAGACTGTAGCTCTGCAGATTTATGGAAATTATCTGTAAACATCTTAAAAGCTCCAAATGAGAGCGCTTAAGCATCTGAACATTTCACATTGAAACAGCTCAAAGGCATCATGAGCTTACTTGGAAAAGGTGATTGGGGTGGGGGGGCACAGTTGGCCTTGGTCTTCTAATGATGTTATTTTCTGTGTGTGTCTTTGTATGTGTGTGTTCTGCCCCCAGGCTGCTATCCGTAAGGAGCTGAATGAGTTTAAAAGCCGAGAGATGGAGGTTCATGAAGACAGCAAACAGTTCACCAGGTACTTAAGCGGTCAATGGCATTGACCATTTAAGCCGACTCTGAAGCTTTATTATCGCTTTATCACAGTAAATGCTGCTGTTTATTAGTCACATTGATCAATATTTATATTGTTCTAGTCCCACATTAAAGTCACGATATACTCCTGGGTCGACTCCAGTTTATTTACCTCAGGCAATAATTGACAATAAAGGTTAGGTTCCCTCTCTCATTTGTTATTTTATCGGTGTGCCGAGCCCACCAAAAAGAACTTATAAACCTTTCAATAAAAACACAACTAGCGCAAAATGTTTCAATATTTGTTTACATCCTCTTTCTGAACTTGTGAAATTACATAGTTGTTGATGTTTTTGAAAGAGAAGAGATGTTACTGCAACTCATGCAGAACAGCGACATTGAGTCACCGTTATTTCCTCATATCTTATTATACTTTGTTTTATGAATTTAGAGAAAATAAGAAAAAAACCCAGCAGTGGCAGCATTATGTCTGGCAATGTTTTTGCCTCAAGACTTTATTAAATTGTTAAGGGCTGAGGGGCAGGTCATGCAACGGAGAAGAGTATAAAAGAGAAAGAAAAGTGCTTCCAGGGTGCAATTTTCCCTGTCTGACTTTAAAAATGCTATTAAAGGTGAGCCACAGAAGTCAAGATAACATTTAGGAACAAGAAAACTTTGATATAAAATGTACACGGGCTGGAAATGGAGGAAAAGCAATGCCTTACCTGCAAATTCATTACAAAAGTCAATATAATGAGATGAGAATGAGAACACGTGCTTTAAGAAGACAAAGTTAAAACTGAAATCTTTCCAAAAGTATGTTTTGTAAAGAAATTTAAAAAAAAAAAAAAGATGAGCAGAACTCTTCCTTTCTTTTGAGTCTGACAATGGAAACATTTGAAGGAAGGTCCACGATTTTCATTTTCCTTTGAGAAATCAATGAAATGCGTCATTTGTTCTACGATGCCCAGAAATGTTTTTCCTTTGTGCCATATTTTTGAAGAGGGAAAAAAAACCCTGTAGACTTGTGCTTTTCTGCAAGATTTAAATCTATTGTTAAAACACTTTAATTAACAGCACGATTAAAATGCACCACCACCATTTTCGTTCTAAAGCCAGCAGCCGCAGCTCAAAGATAGAGGAAACTCGTGTTTGACTGTTTTTGCCTGATAACACGCTGAAACGTAGCAACGGTACATGATAAAACAATGTTCATATTATAATCTGTCTCACTCACAGTGATGTGAATAAGTTTCTTTCTAGAGTCCGGTGAAAAACTATCTACACGATTACTGCTTCCTTAGGAATTTAGAGGGTAAGGAGCAGCCAGGCTGAAAATCAAATGCACTTGATGAATTGATCATCAACAAAGCAGAAGTTTGCTGGTGTGGAGCATTCAGATGTGTGTTAATAACACAATCTTTCATAGAAATTCACCTGAAGATTCACATGAAAAGACCCAAGAGCTACACCTCAGACTCTACAGGTCTCAGCATGTTAAATGTTGAAGTTCATGACAGTACCTTTAGATAAAAGCTGAAAAAGTATGGCTTGTTTGGAATAGTTTCCAAGAGGAAGCCTCTAAAAGAACATGGCTTAGGTTTCCAAAGTTGCATCTGAACAAACCAAAGGACACACTGTCTTTTGCAAGGGAGCAGAGTGGCATAGATGTTTGGATACATACGCAGCACATGTTTGTAAAAGGAATCTGAACCAGCTGTCCGTCTCAGCGATGGAGGAGTGAGAATTTGGTCTTGAGTTAGCATTATAGGGTCAAATGTGAAACCATCTGTCTGGCAGTGTAATTGGGTCAATGCAGCAAGACAATGATCCCATAACATTCCTCCACAATGATGTGACAGATTGATAAAGTCATACAGAAAAACAAGTGTTCAAGTTATTGCTTCTAGGTAAGCATCAAGATAAGTTCAATGACTTTTAAAGATGATTTAAGATGGTGAAATGCTTATTTAATGGTTAGTTTTTCTATAGGACTGCACATAATCCTTTTTCTCACATGACTATTTTTTGCTTTGTGGTCCTCGGGATTCCCATATGCTTGTCTGTCATTCACCTAGGGACCATTTTTGATCCGACGACACCACAAGGATTACGCAGATCAATGCGGCCCTGACAGCTTAATGCTTAGCCATGTCTTCATTTCATTCTCATTCTGTTATTTGATGCCTCGACTATGTAAAAAGATATTACTATTAAGTGTCTACAGTCAGCAAATAACTCACCACAAACTGCTGTTACCGACTGTCTTTGATCACACAAACTACTCACAATGTAGCCTGACAAAGCATTTTGTAAACACCCACCTCCTGGAGTTAAAGATGCGGTCTGTTATGTGTGTTGGTTGCTTTGAATTCAGATGAGTAATTTATGTTTCTGTTAAAAAAAGAAAAATACAAGTTTGAAATTCAAATGAAAATTGGCAGCCCTAGTGTTCACTGAGCTTTGGTTTATATCGACAGCAGTTGGTTTAGTGTTTGAGGATTTTTCAAGATCTGAAAAGTGATTTCAGATGCAAGTTTATTCCCAGGTACTGTGCAGGTTACTACTCGGAGTGTTAGTAGGAATTGCTAATAAATGACAATACATTCATGTATTTCTATTATACTGTCTGTGTGTTTCTTCTGTTGTAAATAAACCTTTGTGTCTGTGTTTTCAGATTTCATCGGCCCTAAGTCTCCTCAATGCCCCGTCGACGTCAGCGCCACAAGCTCTCTGGTCCACATCTCCCAGCAGGCTCAGCTCAGTCCACTTCACTCTGGAACTCAGTCGACCTTTTTCACAGCGGACTTTTTGTCTTGTCACAGCAGGAGAAGCACAGGTGTACTTTACAACATTTAAACGTGGCTGTGTGTCGTTCAGGTTAACCAGTTCCAAAACCTTGGATGTGCGCTCATACTTTAGAAGAGCGATTGATAGGAAGGTGACACTCGCTTCACCTGCATTTTTCCTACTGAAGCACATCGGAATATCTTATGTAAAAAAGCTCTGTTGCCCCCGATGAAACTTTTAAGTCTATCATAACATCTGTGTGTGTTTCTTGGCACCCATAAAACATTTGCACATATCCAATGTCAGGATAGTGGCGTGTATTGTGCTCAGAGTAGATTTATTTATTGTAGAGTATCAGAACCAGCTGGTACACAAAATATTTTGTGTATTTCTTTTTTTTTTTTTTTTGTATGTATGTTTTTGGTCAGCCCTGTTGTAGTGAATGTGAGTGTACTGTAGAGTTTGTGTCCTTACCAGGGTATGCCTTGTCAGTAACTGACAAATGGCCAAATATGGGCAACTTCCTAGTACAGGAAGTGGGGTTGATTGGATAGTTTCATGCTGATTGGGCGACCGTGGCTCAGGGGGTTGGGAATCGCATCTGTAACCGGAAGGTCGCCGGTTCGATCCCTGGGCTCTCTGTCCTGGTCGTTGTGTCCTTGGGCAAGACACTTTACCCTACTTGCCTACTGGTGTTGGCCAGAGGGGCCGATGGCGCGATATGGCAGCCTCGCTTCTGTCAGTCTGCCCCAGGGCAGCTGTGGCTGCAACCGTAGCTTGCCTCCACCAGTGTGTGAATGTGAGAGTGAATGAATAGTGGTATTGTAAAGCGCTTTGGGTGCCTTGAAAAGCGCTATATAAATCCAATCCATTATTATTATGATGTCAGTGCCTATGTCACAGATCACAGGAGAGGAGAGGCAGTTTCCTCTGCTCAGATGTTCCCCTCAGAGATGAATCAGAAATACTGCAGTTCATTTTTTTAAAAACATGCTTTAAGTTCTGCCACTAGAGGTCGCTGTATCCTAAGAGTTACAGAAGACGACGGTGCACATAGCTGAAGAATAACCACAAGTGTTATATTTAAAACTGCTAAAGCTGAGGGAGCCACCTGAGGCTTTAATATTGAAGTGCAAATCCCATTCTGGCCACTTCTAATCCCTCAGCACACTTTCCTGATGATACATGATGATAACATATCATCATGTATTCTCTGCTGGGTTATGAACCTCTAATCACAAAGTGCTGGGCTAGCTGTTTAGGAGATGTACTCATTGTTTTCTTACTAGTTCTATTACAGGCTTTTGGCTGGGGTGCTTTACTTGGCTCTTTATTTGGTGCCAAAGATAAAGCAGGAACCTGATCGTATGTAGGTGTTGGAACGCTTACAGCATAGGTGTCAAACTCTGGCCCGTGGGCCAAATTTGGCCCGCAGCCTACTTGCATTTGGCCCGTGAAGCCATACCAAATTACTATCAGAGCTGGCCTACTGGTATTATACAGCTAATATATATATTGTTTAGTATTAAGCTTTGCTTGTTCCATATTCAGTTTTTCAGCAAAACGTGTTTGAGTCCATAAGAAAAGATTCATTCTTATATCTGGAGGAATAAATATATTTCAATAAATATTAACGTTAGCCCGCGACTTTGTTACAGTTTTGAATTTTGGCCCACTGTGTATTTGAGTTTGACACCCCTGGCTTACAGGTTTCATTTTGTTGGGTGGACTACGTAGAGAACAGGCACTGAGAGGTTCAGCACTAGTAACGAACGGCCCTCTTCTTTCAGAGAGTGAAAGAGTGCTTTAATTTTCATTTCCTTGAACATGCTTTTGCAATTTAGTCAAGTGACTTTATTTTTAGAACACATTTAAAAAGAAGAAATGTTGACATGAGTGCTTTGTGACTTTTGTGATTATATCTTTACATCTAGCTTTAACATGCATCTTGAATCCAGCAAAATTACCTAGTGTCATTACATGTTTTTTTTAACCATGAATCAGGTTTATTTGATGGATTTGTTCCACTTTTTGGAAAGTTAATTTCCAGCCATGGTAATTATTTCAATAAGAATCATTTTAGATCATTTTACAGTTTTGGTCAATCATTGGGAAAATGTTTCAACTTTCATGTGGTTGAATAGATGCCATATTTAACAGAGTCAAGAGGATTTCCTTTGTTTAAATGTGGAGCTATGAAGCATCTAGTGTGTGGATTTGTGATTTTTTTTTTTTAGCAATCTGGCTCGGGTGGTTTGGTAACTATTGGATTTTGGGGGATTTGTGGATTTGCTGACTTTACGTGCACTGCCAGATACTTGAGATGCATGTTTCGGAAAAATGTAGAGGATCCATTAAAAGTGTTTTCTTTCTCCGAGAATGCCAGAATCTTTGTCTGAGCTTTAGTAATATCTTTGTCCCATGCCTACTCGAGAAGAGCGGAGATGTTGGCTGTCGAGTGATTGACAGATAGAGCTTGCTGACCTCCAAAAGACGGTGTTCTTATAATAGAGCCCCAACCTCCACAAACACTCGTCATTCTTCCAAATAGTAACTGAAAAGGGCAGATTGATTGTTTCCACTTCTGAATGTGCGGGGGTTGTAAAGTGAAAAGATGTATAGCAATGAAAAAGAAGCAACAGTATTCATGTTGATGTCTAAGTTGTTGTTCATATATATATATGAATATACATATATGTGTGTGTACTGTACAGAATGTATATCAAGCATGTGCATACATTGGTATGACTTTTACTACCAATATAATATGATACAACTTTTATGTGAATGTTTTAAAATCAAATTGTGTTGGGTTTTTTTTTTTTTTTATATTTTTTGATACCATCTCCAGACACTGATAAAGAAGTGATTACAGCTGACCTGAAAGTGGTGCTTTTTAATCAATTTATCAAGCACAGTCTTTAATAATAACCTACCTATTTCATACGTAGACAAAGATAATGATCTCTGGGAATATCCGGTTTTGGATTTATTTCTACAAATATCCACAGTTCTAATCTGCACAAACTAGAAATCCTTTACATAGGAATAATAATCATACTTGGTTTTAGATATTTATATATAAAGAGAGAGAGAGTGTATTATATATGTAAAGTTTACATATGCTAATTAGTTTGGAAATAAAAACTAGCAGCTGAAGAAAGGAAGTAAATATGAGTTTGATCCCTTACAGTCTGCCTGGGTGTGGCTCCAGCACAGGTGAACACGGTATACACCGTCAGCCAAAGCTGCAGTCAAATACCCAGGAAGTTTGAGCTTTTATTACAAATTAAAAGTCATACATCCAGTTGAGTTAGAGGCAAATTGATGTTTTGGTTTTTTCTAGGTTCATAAACATATATTATCTCTCGCATGAGAGGCGTCTTTGGAGGTGGTCCTGAGAGTCTTTACTGCTTTCCATTTATCTCAGAAGTTGGATTTGCATCACTCCCGAGTTGAGCGTGTTCCAGTAGTAAAGTCGGAAAAATAGGATTTGTGATCAACGCATTCATTCTGAGTTGGAAATCCGACTTTAGGAGAAATTCCATTTTCCAACTTTAGCTTGAACATACTATCTAACCTACCCTGCCAACGGAGGTGTTGGTAGGGTAACATGAGCCAAGATGTGAATCAAGATGTGGTTCATTGGGGTCACAAGTATGTCAAGGTGTGAGTGGCCCAGGTGAACTTAATAAATTGCGTAATGGGAGGGTGGGTCAACAACTCTCACAACTATCTCCAAGGTGATGACCTCGGTAGGGGCACACTGAGTAGCCTAACCCACGTTATTAATCATTTACAGCCTGTATACAGTCAAATAAAATTACAATTAAACTGGTTATTCAGGGTTATCACTCATTATGTACCAATTAGGAAAAGCTTTAACTGTTATCAAAATAAATTAAAAACTTGGAATTTCTTAGCATTTACTCAAAGCTACATTATAGTGTGTTGTACGTAATTTTAGCAATTTATACACTCATCAATCACATTACAGCCTCCTGTCTAATCATGTGTAGGACCTCCTGCTGCTGCCAAAACAGGTCTGACTCATCAGGGTATTGACACGGGACCTTTTGGGATGTCTTGTGTTGTCTGGCATCAGAACATTGGCTGCAAATCCTTTAGATCCTGTCGGTTGCAGGTTGGAGGTGCCTCGTTACAACACACCCCACAAAGGTCCTGTCGGGGTCTTGAGCTCTTCGTTGTGTTCCTGTAATTAGTTTTTGTTGAGTTGCAGGGTGCATTGTTCAGCTGGGAGAGGTTCCTGGCAATAGTGGGTTGTGAAGGCCAGAGTCCAATATTTCCCAGCAGTACATTGAATTATAACAAGATGATCAGTATTATTCGCTTCACCTGTTAGCAGCTTTTAATGTTGTGGCTGATAGGTGTACATATCAGTGCTAAATATAGAGGTTAAAATGAAGCATTACCAAATGAGAATATTTAGAAACCTTCTCCAGGCAAAAGCTTAGTGTTATCGCTTTTAGAACGGCTTTTTAATATTGAAACCGCTTCCACCGAAATACTTGCGTGGAATATCAACAGCATTTATATCGTGCAAAAATCCATATTTCTATCCGAAATTAGGAATGTGGGTGTTAAGCTATAACCACTTAATTCATCAGGATTCAGAACGAATCATCTAAAAACGTTGATGGGTGCCATCTGTTTCATCTCATCTGTACGGCAGCTGTAAAATAAACAGTCACGTTACCCAAAGAAGCTGCAAGCCTACCCCACATTTCCCAGTGTTAATAGTGATCGTGGAAAACGTAATAATAGTTAGACTGCATTTCAGAAGGTATTTCTCTATTTCTCTTGACAGCCATAGTGGCACTTGTTTTTCCTGGGCTGCTACTGTTTATTTGTAATGCTGTCTACTTCCCCCAGTTCATAAAAATGTTTACATTGAGAATGTCTCCTGCTGGTGGTGCTTGAAGCTTCCTTTATTGCTTCCCGAATGTAAATCTATACTTCAGACTGGAGCCACAATCAGACTGCAGTCAAAACCACCCCTTTTTTCTTGAACATGTAATCTTTTCTTGACCATGTGAAAATAAATTGTAATTTGCTGCAGTTTAGCAAATATCATGCTATAAATCTGATATACAGTAATGTATAAACTGTCAGAGTAATGAATTTACTTTGTGCTCAGAGCAGCAAAGGCTGAGGAGAGGATATTTCACATGAGCTCCAACCACCTTTACTCTGTTTGACATTAATAATTCATCTTTGAAGTTGTACTACAATGTTATATATCCCAAAACAGCTACTGTTGTGTCCAAACTGTGTATAGTGTTTTTGTATATAAAGACTTAAACAAAAAGGTTTTTTTTTTGTCATTGTCTTTTTTTGTCGTGAATAATTTTATCACTGAAGTAAGATCACAACTGTTTTTTGTCTGAGAACAGGGACACCCAATACTTTAGTTGGTATACCTATTATTTATTTGGCACTGCCTTAATTCTTTGTGGCATAGATGTAACAAGGTGCTGGAAACAGTCTTCAACTGTTGCCTCAGTTTTCTGTTCTGGTCTGACAGGAAGGGCCCTCAGTGAGGTCTGCTGCTGCTGTAGCCCTTCTGCTTCAACACTGGCTTCTCCCTTCAGAGATACTCTTCTGCACATCTTGGTTGT